GAGTGAGGTGTTTGGGTCCTTTCCCAGATTATAATAAAGCCAAAAAGAAGGAGGAGCCCCTGAGTTCAGCTGTGCCTGGGGGGGTACAGGTAAAAGGCAGCTCTGACTTCATTAAGGAGGCTAGAAAAAGCCACCCCTGCCCCCTCTAGAGGGGAACACAGGTACCGCTGAAGTCGGGGTAGGGGGGGTGTTTAATTATCCTAAAGTCAAAACCTGGACTAGTTTACAATGAAAAGGGAGCAGGATGATTGTTCACCTGGAATATGCATTCCTTGTAGCTATTGAGAATGTGCTCTTTGTGACCTTACAGGGTCACACGTGGTCTTTTCCCCTGTTTCTCTAGAAAATCCCACCCACTGGGTCCAAGTGATCTGAGTTTAAATCTCTGTTCTGTGGGTTAAAAGTACAACAACCGCCATATTCATTCATTCAAGAGGAATGAACTTGTGATGGTTGAGTTTGTGTGTCAACTTGAATGGGCTGAGGGATGCCCAGAAAGCTGGTCAACATCATTTCTAGGTGTGTCAATCAGGGTCGTTTTAGGAGAGATGAGCATTTGAATTGGTTGACTTAGAAAAGTGCATTTTCCTCCTTCCACCAGTCTGTTGAGCACCCCAATTTACAAAAAATGGGGGAGGAGAAGTCTCTCTTTGCTAAAAATGGGACACCCATCTTCATCAGCTCTCAGACATGGGTTCTTAAGATTTCCAAACTCAGGTGGAGACATGCACCATCAGGCCTCAATTCCCTGGCTTTTGGACTTTGCCTGAGATATCCACCCATGCTCCTGGGTTTCCAACTTGGAGACAGCAAATCATGGGACTTTGGGGCCTTCATAACCATGTAAGCCAATTCCTAAAATAAATATTCCTTATACATCTTTTGCTATCCTATTGGTTCTAGAGAACCCAACCCAAAACAGAACTGCTGAGACTTTGTGATCACATATGGTTTGTTTTCATGGCCCTTCAGTTGGTACATAAAAGGCACCCCATCTCTTCAGTCCCACTAAGGTTTCCCCTTGGTCTTGAATAAGACAAAGCGTGATTCCTCTTAATGCTGTTGGTGCCATGGAAGCCATATCCTGGAGGTAGGAGATAGAAAAGTGCCTCAAGGAGGAGGGAGTGCACCTGGTCCCCACTGTCTTAGTGCAGAGGGTTTTACTAAGTCAACCACACCCTACGAGTCTCTGCAAGCTACATGCAAGGAGTTTATAATCTACTATAAATATTGATGATTTTTATTTTATTACCTGAGATTCTGAGGAACGAAGCTAGGTTTGTTCACAGAAAATTACAGTAAGTGGTGAACTTTGAGAAGAATTGTACAGAGGGAGAAGTTTTGTTTTGTTACTGTGTACCAGGCCCAGTCCTGGAAAGCTTCCTGAAGGAGGAGGCGTTTGCTAAAGACCTTGAAGAGGGGAGGGTTCATCAGGCTTGTCAGGATCATATAAAATTAGGATTTAAAAGATCTAAGGACAATCCAATAAAGATGATGTATTATTTTGTATGAGGAATTTGAAAAATCTGTTTTGAACAGAAGTAGAATAATTAATCTAAAATCAATGTATTAATTAATATCTTTAAGGATTTGAGGGGCATTTTGCTTTAGTTTAGATTTGATTTTTCCCCCAAAGCTGTTGCACTCCAATCAGCTCAGTTATTATGCTCAGTTGAATGTCAGTTTTGTGTGTGATTCTTATTTCAGATATCTAGCATCCACCAAATACTCAAAGCACACACAAATATCCATTTGATTGGACCAGTTAATAGATTTGTGAATTAAGAGAAATTTTAAAGGGACTGCCTATATTGAAAATCTACCAGAAAACTGACACCTATATTAAAAATCTACGAGAAAACGGACACTTCTATCTATAATTCATAAAATATTTGGCATTGGCGACAACTCAATAGAGAAATGAATCAGTTCAGTTCTTCTTCCCCAAAATGATAGGCCCAAAGTACAAAAAAAAAAAAAGAACTTTCGGTTTTGTCAGGTGGTTATGATGCAATAGTTAGGTGAACTGGCTGCAACTGAAATAATTTATTAGGCCAAAAGTAAAGCTTAACAAAGCTAAAAATTTAAATTGGACGAAGACAAAAACTATAGAGAAATATTCAAAAACTAACCACACAGCTTTTTCAATATAAATCTCCACAATCCTTACAGTAGGGATCCTTTTAGTAAATAGAGAAGTACCAGCAAATTGACCATTTGCAGAACTGATCTTGGCAAACTGACTTGCAGTGAAGTGGCTTTCAGAGAACTGAGTTCCCTGAAGAAGTGACCTCAGGCCTCCTTGGTTCCCAATGTCTCCTGCATGTTCTAAGTCTGGGCAGGGCTGCGTGAACTCACAGGGTGAGGTGAAGTGGAAGGAGGGGGTAACCAGGTTCTACCTGCCAAGGTCTTTGTACTTCAGCTATATCTACATGTGTCCATCAGTATCAGGTGTAAGAGTCATTAAAACTCAGATGCCATTCTGCCCTGGGGATCCCTATCAATGCTCTGCACTAACCACCCCACCCCACTCTGAGGACCCTATTCCTCCCAGGCAGGATGGTGAGGCAGGTACAGGTGATGAGTCTCTGCTGGCGGGAGCCCTCTGAGCACTACATTCCATTCCAGGTCCTTCCCTCATCCTGGCCTGAAGTGAGACACTCCAGCTCCCAGATCCCCTGGGGCAGGGGTAGATAAGTGTCTGCCACTTTTCTAGCCCCCATCACTGATAGGCCTCAGAAGACCCATCTCTACATCCAGCCAGATCTTCTACCTCCCTGGGCTGTCTGGCAGCTTCACTTTTTTTTTTTTTCTCTGAACCAGGGTAGCTTAAAAATGGTAGTGATCTGGTCTGGGACACACGCCTTCTCCCATGGTCTGACTGTGGGGATCCCAGCTGGTGCAGCCACTGGGCCTCCCTGATGGCTGGTGGGCTCCAGAGATGGGCAGGGTGGACTGACAGGGACAGAATCCCAGAAGTCAGACCCAGAAGTGTCTCTGACTCACCAGAACCCGCATTCCCCCCACCTCCCGCACCTCCCCATCCCACCCAGGGCAGTGTCATGCCTATGGAAATGCCCGCTGCTGGAACCCAGCTCCTATTCTGTGGCAGGGAATACCCTGAGCCAGAGCGGGATCCCAAGAGTCAGAGGTGATCCTGGGTGCTCATCTGCACACTCACAGGGCCCAGCGCCTACTTTCTGGGCTGCCCCAGGAGCGGGCTTCCAGGGTCTCCAATGCCTTCCAGAGGAACCATGCAAGGTGCCAGGCCCAGTGCACCACGGGCCAGTCTCTGGGTTGCACTGTGGGCTGATTGCAAGGACAGGGATAGGAGGGACGTGGAATGACAGGTGACCCCCTAAAATGTCAAATGAGAGAAAGTTAAAGAAAAAACCACCTCACTTATGCAGGAGCCCCTCCTCTGTGGTCTGGCCCTGCTCCCACTGACTGGGGACAGGCTGGCTCACTCACCCGCACACGTGCAGGGACATGGGACAGGCAGGGAAGGGCAGACACCAGTATTTTGCAACAACCTCAGGTGAGCCAGCTCTGCCTCTCCACCCTGAGCTGAGAACCAATGACTTGGCACAGCTAGGATGGATGCCAATCATCACTGACAGTTTGAGCTAAAGTTTCAATCAGCCAAACTAAAACCAAAGAAAAACTCATTTCATGAAGGAAAAAGCAGAAGCTCAATTTCAAAGTCATGCTGTTCGTTGATGAAAACACTGGAAAAACAATATGTTTTCTGAGTTGAGTCCAGGGAATCTTCCTGCCTCCCCCGCTACCCTGATTTCAATCTGATGTCACAGACCGATAAGCTCTTTTCTTCCTTGTAAGGCTCACTGGCCTGTAACCACCCTGGGCCTCACGTGGAAGATGAGCTCAGATTAAACCATCTCCGAGAAGCAGGACAGAGGGAACCTTGGGAACTCAGTCATGACAAGCAGCCTAGAATGGGTCTGGTTCTTTACACAGGAAAACAGTAACCCCAAGTTCAAAGAGTGGCTGTGCATGACATCTGAGGAGGGGAGCAGCCACTGGCATCTCCATCCTTCTTCCTCACTCCTCCCAGCTCCTACATGGACACACTACAGACTGGGGAGCAGCTCCAAAGCCCCCAATTCACAGACAGGCCAGGAAGAAGCTGTAGTGAGAAGGGCCAAGTAGCTGTGCGGTGCTCTGGCTGAAACTAAAGAGGGAGAAATCTCTCCAGGTGGAAGGAAACATCCTCCATCCTAACCTGGACTCCACTCCAGTGTCACCCGCACCTCCACCACCACCACTTCCAGACCAGCCTTTATCCTGGTAAAATAAGTTCAGTGTTCCAGTGCCACCACCTTGTCATTTTTTAATCTGTAAGATGCTGTATCTCAAGTACAGGACACACGCACACATTTTCTTTAACCTCAAAAACAGTTGGTTATGTGCAGTGGATGTGAACAGTATTATTTGTGGTGTAAGCAGCATCCCCTGGTCCTGGGGTCCAGGTTTAGGCCACTGGTCTTGAATTAGATGCTCAGGCAGACCCTTGACTCAAAGCAACACGCTTCTTCCATCCAGTCCCCATACCCACACCTTTCCTCTTCCTCGGGCATCAGAAGGGAGGCCACCTGCCTGGCCTTCTCAAGTCAATCCTCCCACCATGGCCAGTGAAAGGGTGGGATGTGAAAGGTTCCCAGACTCCTCAACTGGACCCTCAACTCTCCCCTTTTCAATCAAACAATCAGGCACCAACAAATACCTTTAGAGCTCACATTCCTTTATTGCGGCCACCACATAGCTTTGGGGTTCTTCACAACAACCCTGTGAGGCACCCCCCCATTTCATTTTACTTTAGAGTAAGAGGTAGGGCAGGCTGGGGTCTTGCCAGTCAGAGGGGGCTTCACATGGCCCCCCACAGTGCAGACTCCAGGCCCCAGAGAGCGAAGGCTTTCCCACGGGGAGGCAATTTCCCACCCACAACCCAGCAGGGGCCACCACAGCAGCAGGGGCCCCAAAGACACAAAGATCAGAGTCAGCAGGCTAGGCCCCAGCCAGGTCTCACTTCTGGGTGAGGATTTTCACAAACTCCTCATAGTTCACCTGCCCATCCTTGTCCACATCAGCCTGTTGGATCATCATATCCAGGTCCTCCTGGGACATTGGCTGCCCAATCTTGACCATGGCCTGCTTGAGCTCATCCACACTGATGTGGCCATCACCGTTCTGGTCGAAGACTTTGAAGATCTCCCGCAGCTCCATCTCACTGCCTCCAGCCTTCATCCTCTTGGCCATCTCTGCCAGAAACTCTTGGAAGCTGATGGCACCATCACCATCCGTGTCCACCCGGGCAATGATCTCCTTTAGCTCTTCCTCTGAGACATTCTTGCCCAGGGCCTGCATCACGGCACCCAGCTCCTGGACATTGATTTTGCCATCTCCATCCGTGTCAAACCGGGTGAAGGCCTCCTTGAACTCAGCCACCTGCTCGCTGGGCAACTGATCAGCCATGTCACCGACACTCTCTGAGCTTCCAACCTTGCTGTCAGTAGCTCAAGGGCTCAGGTCAGAGCTGGAACTGCCAGCAGGATGTCAGGCTGCGTCTGTCTGAGAGCGGAGCTTCAACTGCAGACTTGCTATGGGATGGGAACCCCCCTTTTCTATAGTCAGAGCAAAGGGAGGAGAAAGGATCCCCACCCTCCCCATGCCCTCAGGCTAAATCCTCCTCCCAGGGAGGGACAGACCAGCTGGAGACCAGAAAGGCAGGAACCAGAAGCAGGGCACGCCCACGAGAGAATCTGAGGGAGTCAGCATGGGAGGCTGTCCCCAATGGCAACCATGCTGCTCCAGATGCATCCTGTCCTGGTGACTCTCGCACAGCCCTCTGGCCAAGCTGGGGGCGTCCGAATGGTTTTCCCAATTTACAGAGCCCAAGGGTGGGCAGGGAAGAGAGCTGCCTTAGTGGACACAGCAGACCCTGGAGGAATAGGAGGGCTGTTCAGTGGTCCTGCTCCTCTCTCAGAGCTGCTGCCCAGCCCTTGTCCAGCAGGACATGGCTGGTGAGGACAGATGGCAGTAGAGACGAGTCTCAGGTTGGAGCCATGGGCGTCATCAAATTCTCAGTCCAGGGTGGTCAATAGATCACCAGATGAAGAGGTTAGCGGCGTTTAGCATTGAGAAAGCAAGGAGACAGGTTGCATTCAGACCCCAGCACACAGGGCATGCTGAGAATCATTTATTAAATGATTGTTCTAAGTGTGATTTCAGTGGTGAGGAAAAGATTTCTTATCCCCACTGAATACTTCTCCTCCAGCTCCCTGACCCTCTGAGTCCATTCTGTTGTGAAGTCTAAGGTTTTCTGAAGACCCCGAGATGGAGTAGGGTGCTGACATTCACAGAGGGGACTGGGGAGCACTAGGCCAGTGTAGACCAGCCCCTCAAGATGCTGAGCATCTGGGAGGAAGGAGAAAGCCATGACCGAAACTTTGAACGGAACCTCGCCGGAGGTTGTTCTAAGAGTTACTCCTAAGTAGGGAAGCCTAATCTGGGAATCCCTCTGGACCCACTAATTAAGCAGTTCACAGAAAGAATCCTGAGAGGAAAACCGCCTAGAGCAGACCAAGAGCTCAGTCCATGGGGACTCTCCCCAAGTCTTTGGCAGTGAGACCCACAGTTGGAAGAGGAACATCCCCTCTCCAGCCGAACAAATTCCTGACTTCCCTCACCTCTGCCTATACAAAAGGAACAATCTCCTCCAGTCTTCTGAGAACTGTTAAAAATTCTACCTCTTTCTAGTTCAGCCCATCAAACAGACAGAAGACCCCCTCCGTCCTCAGAGGGCAACCAGGTGAAACACCCACCCACCCTTCGACATGCCACCTCCCAGTCCAGCCCAAGTCCCAGGTGCCAGATGTAGCAAAGGGGAAAATTCCAGTTGTCTAACTGGCTCCACGAAGACATCTTGAAAAAGGATTGCTATTTTGTCTTTGTGTTGGAATTGCACAGAGGCCTCAGCAAACATTGAGCAACAAATTTCTCAATGAAACTCACGACCAGATCAGGAGGATGATGTGGGTCCACCCTAGAGCCTGGCCCCAGGAAGCTCTTGCCTCTCGGGCAGCCAGGGAAGGGTGGAGCTCCTCACCACTGGGGCCAGCCCAGCTCTTACCTTTATTTGTTTAAGAATATTTGAAGACATAAACCTATATTTTAGATTTCCTTGCCTCCCATCTTATTAGCAGGGCTTACAATTAATAGGCCAAGATGATTCATGTTTTCTTATTCTTTTCCCTTGGCATTAAAAAAACACATTGTAAATGATGGAGAGCTTTGCAGACACCATCAGGAAACTTGGGTTCTTGGTTCTAGCTCTATCACTGACTTGAGATCTGTGTTTCATTATCTTCATCTACAAAACAAGATAATACATCCACCATATCCAAGCAGGGCATTCAGGATCAATGATCAAAGAATGCTTGATGAATGGAAAGAGTTATTTTTCTATGATAACCTTCATGTTTGGTAACAGGTGGGTTATTGTGATGTAAACCAACTCCAAAGAAAATATCTCTTTGAGGGAAAGCTCACCATCAATTTTGTTATTAAATCTTTCTTGATTAAACTGGTAAGTTAAGCATATATATCTGGAAGATTCAGTCGCATTAGTCCAAGGCTCTGAACATTAGAACTTGTGGTTCCAGCCCTGACAGTTGCACTCAGAGCAACAGTTAGAAGGAGCTCCCGCGTCATCCTAGACGGGAAATGGTCATCATTCCCATCATGCTCATCACACTATGTACAGAGATGGAGTCTCAGGGGTAAAAGTCTTGTGCCCAGCTCCACCCAATGATTTGGGGACAGAGCAGAAATCTGGTCCACACATCTCCATCCGCCGCCTGCCATTTTGGATCCTCTCTTTCCACCGTATGAATCAACATTGGCATCTTTTCTTCACTCTTTCCTGTCCAGCCTCCTGCCTAAACGGGAGCAGTCAGCTCACAGACTCAGCCCTGTGAGGGTCTTGTTCTCCCCCCTCTGGGGGTTGTTGTGGGGACAACCACTCATGAGTGACCAACACCACAGGGCATCTGACCATCCAACTCAGAACAACACAGCGTTCATTGGTGCCAAAACACACTCAAGTTTGATCAGCCCCCCTCCTCAGCTGGTTTCACACATAGCAGCCTGGGTGTGGAGCCCACACATCCCTCTGGAGGAAATGGAAGAGGACCAGTATCTGGTGTTCATGGCGTCTGCTTGGCTAAAAGGTATCCACAAGCTGTACCTCCCAGAAGGCATCAGCATGTGATGGGAGTGGGGACCCAGGGCTTGGGGGACCATCCTTTGCTCAGATTCCTACCGCTGAGCCCTTGGGACACGTAAGAAGCGTGTACAGAAGGCCCAGAGAGAGCAGAGAAGAATGTACCACAACCCCCTGGGTTGCCACCCTGGGCTGTTTAGGATGAAGAGATGGTGCTCAACCAGGGGGCTCGGCTTGCTGAGAAAGAAGTACCCAGGACCTGAAGAGATGATGGGTGGGTTTGGGAGAGCAGAAGGGGCAACTTTGCTGGAGAAGCTTTGAGTCAATTCAGTGTTACCTGGTGGATGCCAGCTACTCTACTGGACTCATTCCCTCTCTGCTCCTCAGACTACCTCCCAGACACTGCTGCCACGGAAACCGAGTCTTCTAGTGAGACTGACAGCGGTGCTGGAGGTGAAGAGGGCCCCTTTATTGAGGAGTGGGGAGGACACTGCAGACGTCGTAGGAAGGAGGAAGACTCTCCAAGGCTGGCTGGTCCTGAGGGCATCACAGAGGCATACTGCCTTGTGCAGTGGCATGACTGTGTGTGAGGACGAGTGTGTGAGAGAATTGTATATCTGTATGACTATGGAGGAGAGAGTGTGTGAGTATGCGTGTAAGTGTGCTTGTGTGTGAGTGAGTGTGGGGAAAGAGAATGTGTGTTAGTCTGAGCATTGAGTGTATAGGAAAGAGTATGTGAGTGTGTGAGCATCTGAGCGTAGGGGAGAGTATATGTGTGTGTTTGTGTGTAGGGGAGAGACAGGATGTATGTGTGTGAACTTGATTTTTGTGTGTGTGTGTTGGGAGGAGGCATGTGGGGGACTGTCTTTCTGCTCAGGAGTTCAGTTCAAATGACTGAAGCCAGCCCTAACTTTCACACGAGCTTGACCCCAGGAACAAACACACCCTAGCACTCTCATTACTGTTTGGCTTTGTGGGCGCAACCTAGTGAGAAACCAGTAGGACAAGTCTGGGAGAAGCCTCAGGCTTCTCTGACTTGTGGGAACCTGCTTGTCCCTCAACCTTGAGCCAGTCTCCATGAAATTGGCGCCTGACCCTGCCTGGGAGATCCCACTCCAGGGAACAACAAAGGAGCCTTGTGGGTGTCACTCTGAATGTCCTTGGAGACATCTGTGGCTCAGATCTTCTGAGACCCCCCAACTCCACAGAATCACCCTCAGTGGTTGTTGAGTCATGAGCACTAGAAATGGGAGCAATTTTGATCGTGCCCCTTCACAGAGGATAGGCTCAAATCCCACTGTTTCAGCACCCCCCAACAAAACATTCCCCACAGAGGTGCCCCAGCATGCAGCGACATCATTGGCTTTGGAACAGGAAGTTGTGGGGTGTAGGTCTGGCCCCCTGTATCAGATGCTGTGTAGCCTGAGCAGGTGACTTCACTTCCTGAATCACTGCCAGCTTATAAGGACTTGATGCCAGTGCCTGCCCCGTGAGGTGCCGAGGGGACTAGAGAAGCTGCAGGGAAAGCATTTGCTCAGTGCCCAGCAGAAAGTAAACTCAGTCAAGTGGAGTGATCACTGTCACTCCTGCCCCACGCACCCCAGCGCCAGCTCTCCGACAGGTGTAGGGGCAGAGTTTCATTTCTTCTAGGCGGCTTCTTCCAAGCCAAAAAATCAGCATCCTCAAAACTGACCAGGGTTTTGGCTGTTCCAGGTTCTCAAAGTCTTGCACTGAGTTAAACTCCAGGTCTCACTGGTGCTGGGGCTGTATCTGCCCCGCTCAGTACCTGCCATTAGCATGTGCTCCAGGTTGTTGAGCAAATTCGGTGGATGAACATCATCCTACAGGAAATGACCTATTTTGAAGGTAGCAATCACCTTTCTACTGTAAATGGTGTGATTCTTGCACTGCCAGGGTCACCTCCTGGATTTACGTCCTGAAGAGGCATCACGTGTGTGTGTTCTGGGTGCTCTGCACTCAGCGCTGCTTGTTGGCAGGGGTTGCTGTGTGTTCAGTGCCCAGTTTGCCCAGACTTGTCGGGTGGCTGCAGGTGCCGTCCTTCCCTTTTTTGGCCAATTACACACCTGGAGCTTGTCAGGACACTCATCTCTCTGTCCCAGCTCCAGGCCTGCTCAGAACCTTATGACAATGACACTATAGCCAGCACTTACTGCAAGAAGTGTTCTGAATAAGGTATTTTTCAGGTAACTGAAACAGCCCTGTAAACATGAAGCATTTTAATTTTAATGTCTT